CTGAGTAGTATTCCATTGTGTATTCATACCAAATCTTTACCCAGCCATCTGTCGATGGACACTGACATTGTTTCCATGTCTTGGCTGCTGTAAGTAGTGCTGCTGTGAGCATGGCACGGGTGGGGTGCATGCATCTTTTTGAATTAGAGTTCCCTCTGTTGTATGTGCAGGAGTGGGACTGCTGGATCATATGGTTTTCAGTTTTTGAGGAATCTCCATACTGTTTTCCACAGTGGCTGCACCAAACTACATTCCCGCTTATAGTGCAGGAGGGTTCCCTTTTCTCCACACCTGCTCCAGCATTTATCGTTTGTGGACTTTTGAATGATGGCCATTCTGACTACAATGAGGCCACACATCCTGTCATCCGTCCCCTCCCTGCTCCAATGCTACAGAACAAGAAAGCAGTCTTCTAGAACATGTTCATTTGAACTAAAGTCTATGATAAAAATTGTGAAAATTTCTTGTTAAAGATGTCTTCCTTCTAACAAACATTTCAGAAGGGCAGGCTTTCCCCTCAGTGATACTGTTGCATGATAACAGAAATCACAAAAATTATACACGTTCATTGTCGGCTGTTACCAGATACTGGTTATAATTCCCTGTGCTGTGCAGTGAATCCTTGTAGACTATCTGCCTTCTATGTAGCAGTTTGTATCTGTTAATCGCAAACTCCTGATTTACCCTATAATGGAAGAGAATCTGAAAAATGTGTGTGTGTGTGTGTGTGTATACATATACTGAATCACTTTGCTATACACCTGATTTACAATATTGTAAATCAACTATATTTCAATAAAAATAGGATTTGAAAATTGATAGAACTCTGACCTTGAGGTCGTTCCAATTCTAAGAAAAGAAGTCAAGCCCAAATCGAAACCTTGAGGCTGAGCTCCCACGACGTTGTCATCACAGCACAGAGCCCGGGACGGTCCCCCTGAAAGAAGAGCAGGCGCCCTTCGTCCTGTCTGGTGCTCCCTCTGGACGCGTTTGGAGCCGGCGGTTGCCGCAGGGCCACGTCAGAACGGGAGCAGCGCTTACCGGTGCCGCCAGAAGATCTCCCCGGTTCCGCAGAACTTACCTTCCCTGGGGACTGATCTGGATGAGAGCCTCTGAACCTGTGGGCAGAGAAAGGTGGGTGACAGCAGAGGGATCTGGGGGAGTCCTGCTGGCTCAGGGGCCGACGTGACTCACACAAGGAGCCTTTAGGTACCCCACCAAAGCCACAGGCTTGGGTAAATTCTAGCAAACAGCTTTAAAACAGAACTAAACTAAACTAAGCAAAAATTATTTCCCTCATTTTGGAAATGAACCAGAAACATCTGAAGCTACCAGGGGGAAGCCCCAGTCAGCAGCGGGCGGCCGGGGGGTCTGCCTGAGCCGGTCGCTTGCCAGACAGCACAGAAGCCGGTCGCTTGCCAGACGGCCCTCAAGACTTTGACTGCACAATCTAAGTGATCACATGATTTCTCTTAGATTTTTAACAAAGAGCTTGCAGACCTCCATTTCCCCTAGGTCTCCTGGGCAGAAAGCCCCTCCACATGGCTGTTCCAGCGTGTTTTTACAGGGGACGTTGGGGCTGGTGTGAGCGCCCCGCGTGTTCACCTGCATAGTCTCACATTCAGCCCCAGATGGGCCGAGTCCCTGCCGAGCCACCTGCACCTGCTGCTTCTGGCCTCTGGGCTTCGCTCTCCTCATCTGCGGGACGGTGACGCTCACACCACCAAGCGGGGCCACGTTACATGCTGAGCTGAGCAGTGTGTGTGGAGTCCTCCGCGGAGCGCATGGCTTAGGCGGTGCTTTAACACGTGTGTTGGGGACTGATGCTCTTGTGGTCGATGAGAGCTCACTGAGCATTTTTCACCATGTGTTTCTGGGTCTCCCACCTGCCCAGTCTCCTTGAGGGAGGGAGAGTGGAAGGTCCTGGGCCAGCTGGAAGACACCCAATGTTCTTCCCAGGGGAAGCCTTGCCACGCCCCTGCACCAAACCTCCTTGGCCCGAGCTCGCCGCCACACGGCACACGGATCACTGAGAGGCTGTGGATGCCAGCAGCTTTTTAGGAAAGTCAGGACGAGGAGGAGCTGGGGAGAAGCGAACTGTGGGCTTCATGGCGCAGGCTGCCGTGCGGACAGCAGATTCGTGGAACCTGCGGTCTACAGGACGGCAGAGGATGAGCGTGCCCGGAGACACGGCCCTCCCGCCTGAAGGCGGCAGAGGGCGAGTGGCTCGTTTGTCCAGCTTTCCATTCCGGTGGCAGGGGACGGGCAGGGCTCCTTTCCCCTGGGGGCCCACAGAGGGTGCCCTGGCCGCCGGGGGCAGGAGTAGGGGGACCTGAGCTGCTCCTGCCTGGCTGCTGGCTGCTGGCTGCTACGTGACCTTGAGCGAGTCACCAGCTGTCTCTGGCGCCGTTTTCTCGTCTGGAGAAGGAGGACTTGGCCAAGCCAGACTAGTAGCCACACTGAGCGTTTAGCATCTCATCGGGTCTTCACAGCAGCCCTCTGTGGGAGGCCGACTGTCACATTTACAGACGAGGAAACTGTTGTGCCCTGGGGTCGTCCACTGGGGCAAAGCAGGCTGGACCTGAGGTCATGGTCCCCGGGGGCAGTTCTGGCCTCTCGTGACGACCTCGTGCCCCACGAGCTCTGTCTGAGCCCCAAAGAGTCCCCCCTCCTTGTCGAGGACTTCGGTTTCCTGCCGTGCTGCTTTCTTTGCCGCCATGCCCTCACCCTCCACTTCCCGCCGGCTTTCCAGCCTTGTCTCCACCCCTTCCCCAGAGTTGCCTTTCTCCTTCCATAGGCCAGCACGCTACGATTTCTGAGAAGAGGGAGGGGAGCACCTGGCACCCCGTCCCCACCCCTCCGGGCTTACCAGGTGCATGCAGCCTGTTTCCCAGGGTTGGCTCTGCTTTGGGGAGTGCGTCCTGTGGGGTCCCCAGGGGTGGAGGAAGAGGGGCACTTTAACCCCAGGGCAGTGCTTCTCCAGGTGTGAGCCTGGGCTGCCCAGCATGGGTCACAGACATCCAGGGTGCTGGTGAAATGTGCAGATCCCTGGGCCCCACACCAAAGTGGGTGAGTCCGAATGTGCATTGTAACAAGCTCCCCACTTCTGACAGGCACATGTCAGGGTTGGAACCGCTTCTCTTTCAGAGCCTGCACTGTTGGGCTGCAGAGGGTGACAGATGTCTTAGCAGTGACCTATCCTTCTATGAGATTCCTTAGTGGCAAACCGTCCTTATATTGTTGGAGTAAGGCCTTCCTGATAAAGCTGGATTGTTGCTTTTTAAAGCAAACTTCAGGATTTAACTTGGTTACATTTTAGTGAGAGTTTGGCATCTCTGTAAGATAAACTTACAGAATTTTCTTTTGTGCGTTTACTGTCTTCATCGGGATTGGGTATCGCTAGCTTTGTAAAACAAACAGAATCTTACCGTCGTGTTTTACAATCTGAGATAGTTTGTCACTGGACGTGTGTTTTGAAGACTGGCTAAGGCTCAGCCATAAACACAAGCTGGGCCAGGCATTATTTTAAATGGTTGACACTGAACTCCTTTTGCAATTTCTTAAATAGTCACTGGTTGGCTCAGGTTGTTACTTCTTGAAATGAATTCATTCCTCTAAGTTGACCGAGCGTTTGCACACAGAACTCTCATGTTTCTGGATCCCCTCCCTTTTCTGGAATCTGTTGCGTTTCTCAATATCAGTGCTGCCTTTTTTTCACTTTTTCTTTAATCACACTTTTCTACTTAATCTTTTCAAAGAACCAACTTGTTTTTTCACTACATTGAGGCATAATTGATGTGTAATAATTAAAAATGAACGACTTGATGAGCATTGACATATGCACATCTGTAAAACCATCACCAAAGTCATTTTGACCTTTTTAGTTTCCTAGTTCCCTAACTTCAGATTTTATTTTAGAGTCTCCCCTTCTACTTGTGTGTGTTTTATTCTTTTTCTAGTCCCTTAAGTGGAAGCTAGCTCATTGATTTTTTTTAGTTTTTTGTTTGTTTTTCCAAGGGGGTCACTTGGTGTATTTAATTAATTGATTGATTGATTAATTATTTTAATGGAGGTACTGGGCCTTGAACTCAGGACATCGTGCATGCAAAGCCCTCACTCTACCGCTGAGCTGTACCCTCCCCACCGCTAGCTTATGTATTTTAAACCTTTATTTATAAACGCAGCTGATCCTCATTTTTCATGGTAGTTGTGTTCTATAAAGTCACCCCAAACCCTGAATGAGCCAAGTCTGAACCTTTACTCCTGGGGAAGATACAGGGTTTGGTTCCTGCCAACCTCTGGGCACAGATTTTTCGAATAACTGTCAATACACAATTTTGTTGTATGTGTGTTTCTGTTTGAAGATTCCTCTGACAGCAGAAATCGTTGGTTGGTTCACGCAGATCTTGCGTCAGCGCACTGGGACTCGTGTCTGAACGAAGCCCGCCCCACGTGCGTTCCTCCACGAGGCGCGGCGCGTGGCTGAGGCACAGCAGCCAGGACTGCAGCCCTCCTCCCGGGCATCTCAGAGAGCAGACTCACCGGCAGAGGGCGCAGGGCGTGGGAGGCGCGCAGCCCTGCGTCGTCCGTGGGAAGGGCCTTTGTTCAGTCTGAGAGCTGACCGAGCAGGCAGGGCGCCACCTTGTCCGACCGCAGCTGGACGTGCACGCCAGCCCCTCACATGCTCCCACTTCACGGGTGCCCACGGTGACCTCGAAAGGGCTGCCGAGCGTTGATCTGGTGGGGGCGGGGGGTGACAGATTTCACCAAGTAGGCAGATTCACAAATACGGAGCCTGAGAGTGACGAGGATCATTGTAGCTAAATCACTGAAGGTTCCATTAAACGCATGGGCTGTAGACAAAAGCCATCCTCCCAGAGGAAAATGAACAGAACAAGAGGCTGTAGATCCTCACTCATCGCCTCAGTCTTGGTTGGCTGGGTCCTGATGCCCAGAAAGCGCTGTCCCCGTGTTGCCCCTGACCTCGGCTCCGATCGCAGGGCAGCCGGCCCACCTGCGAGGTTTCAGATGGCGGACTCTACGTCGCGGACCAAGCCCTGGGCCGGAGAGCCAAGCCGGAGGTCCGCATCCTGACGCGGCTTGGACTCGACGTGCTCAGGCCGAGGGGAGACTGGGGCACGATGGAGGAAACTCGGGCCTCGGCGCTGAGTCTGCCTCTGTCTCTGACCAGCTAAGTAACTCAGCCGCTCTGAGCCTGCTTCCTCCCTGAGAGACGTCGGAGGGAAGAAACGGGCTCAGAGCGGCTGAGTAACTTACACCTGCTAACAGACCAGGCGAAACAGTGAGCAGGAAGGGTTGGAAAACAGCGAAGAGCTGTGCACGTGTGAGGTGGGAGGGTCGCTGCCATCGTGTCAGTAGCGCTCCCGGAGGGGACCGTTCTCTGACCTCGTGCTCCCAGTCTGGGGTCCAGCTCACAGGGCCCCGTCGTTCCAGAGCCTAGAGATTTAAGCCTGGGCCAGACCGTGCCAGCTGGAAGGAAGAGAGGGCGACTTGGCGCTGCTCCCACCGCCGAAGCTGGTTCAACCCCCTGGGAGGCCCGAGGCCCTCGCTGGAGGAAGGCAGAGGCCCCGGGACCATCGTGAGGCCCCATAGCCTCAGCCACCCCAGACCCACACACCTGTCTCCTTTGTCTCCCAGCGCCACGAGTGCCAAGGAGGACGCCAAGTGGCTGCAGTGGGTGACGCGCCAGTTTGAGACGGGGAGACTGGTCTGCAAGAGTCCAGAAGAGCCCTGAACGCGGAAGAGGCAAGAGCCCACTCCGGGATGGGGCCCTGAGTCCGCGTTCCGTGGAGGACGAGCAGCCTGGTTTGCAGGGCAAGGTGCTGTGCAGGAGGGAAACGTTGCTCCCCGGCCCCCGGGGCCCCACTTCTGAGCAGGGCCGGAGGATGTTTCTGTCTCTGCCGCGGGGCTTTTCCGCCCCTCTCGGTAGCCGTGGCTTCCTGGGCCTTCAGACGCGTGAGGCTGGAAACCGTGCCCTGTCAAGTCTTAAGATGCTATTGACCTTGCAGTCACCACCCAGCTCGGGGACAGAGGTGAGCTGACCTGCACCTCCTGCCACAGAGCAAGGTTCCCACGGCTTGTATCCACTAGAGGCCGTTTGCACTGCCCCACCCTCCCCAGTCCTTCTCGGTGCCAGACCCTCTGCCCGTTCCCAGCACAGCCTGCGGGGACGTGAGCTGGGAGGCGGGAGGGTGAGCCTCAGATGCCAGCCTCTCCGCAGGCGTCCCTGGGCTGGCGTCTGGTGGTGCCTGCGTCCTTTAGAAGCACCAGCCGGCGAGCATTTGCCTGCCCCTGTTGGATGGGAGGGACCCTCACTTGCTGGCACCAGGGACGTTGCTTGGAACTCTAAATGTCCTGCCTCCTTTCATGGTCAATGCGGGGAAGGGAAAAGGAGACCTGCCCGACAGGGGCTGTACAATATCTCAGATAATGGCCATCCGTGTCGGCAGAGGGTAATAACGCGTTGCTCAAGCGACCCAGGGCGCAAGAGTGAGGCCAGGGCAGGGCTGACGCCCACGGTGAGCGTGGTGCCTGGGACTCACACTTTGTCTGGGTCGGTCAGCACGGCCTCCAGGGGAGCGTAGGGCCTGACGGGCTGCAGCAACGACCCAGCCTGTCCTAGACCCTGCGTTTCCAGCGCCAGCACCAGGCCTGGCAGGCAGGGTCTGCGCGAGACATGGTTGGATGAATGATGAGTGGAGAGGCTGAACTGGCAACGGAGAGCCGTGCCGTTGGGAACAGCCCACACGGAGGGCGCCGGACACCCGGGCAGGGGAGGCCCAGGCCTGCGGCGGCCTGCGCTTGTCCCTCCTTCCTGTGCTCACTGCCCCACGGGGCCACCCCGGGAAGGACCAGGCAGGACCCGGGGTGGCCTCTGTCCAGCCCTTTTCCCTGTTGCGTAAGGGGCCACAAGGGGTCTGGACGGCAAGGCTGACGGGGCAGAGAGCCGGTGCAGACTACCAGGCGCCAGGGCCGGAGAGGGGCCCACGGCCCGGACGCAGCCATCCTCGCTGCAGGGACCTGAGCAGGCCTCTCGCTAGAGCCCAGACTTGCCCCCGGCTGGTGGGAGGGCCGTGGACACAGCGCCCTGGAGTGGCCTCGTGGGTAGATCACACCTGTGTTCAGGCACCTGGGTGCTCCCTGAATCCCACCACCCCACAGCGTGCACACACACAGACACACGCACACAGTGAGTGAACCCAGAGCCCAGCCCTGTGGCCACACTTGCCTGTCTCCCCCTCTGCTCGGCGCAGTCCTTCTTTACTGAGAGATTCTTCGCCTTGTGTGACTCGGATGGAAGTGGCACCATCTGCTCCAGGAGCCGCGGCGGGCGCTCACCCACGGCAGCCCTGTGGGCAAACCTGGATTCCTCTTCCAGGTGTAGGGCGTGGATGGTGGGGCCCTTTGTGGGGCTCGGGGGGCTTGGGAGGGCAAGGGACTTGGCCCGTCTCAGTGGCTGTCCGGCTCCCCTCCCTCCCTCTCTCTGTCTCTCTCTCTCCCTCTCTCTGTCTCTGTCTCTCTGTCTCTATCTGTCTCTGTCTCTCTCTGTCTCTGTCTGTCTCTGTCTCTCTCTGTCTCTCTCTGTCTCTCTCTGTCTCTCTGTCTCTCTCTCCAGGTTCCCCGCCCCATCTCTGTCTGGTCCCTGCCTCCCTTTTGTTGGCGAGAAGGTGGGACTCTGTCCAGGAGACAAATGGCCTTGATTCAACTCACCGGAAGCCAGGACTTTCCTTTGTTCTTTCCTGTGTTTGAAAAAAGAAAGCGTTTTGTTGATTTTTAATAATAAAAATAGCCCCCTGTGAACATTTTAGACGATACAGAATGGTTTAAAGAAGAAAGCGAAAATCACCCGTCATGTTTCCTACACCGCCTTCTAACTGACCACCACACGTGTGCACCACACACTTTTTTAGACAAAAAGGTGTCACACTGTGTGCACTGCCCTTTCCACTAAATATAAACATGTGTGCACGTAAGACTGTTACTTTAGACCATTTTAATTGTAGTAAAATATATGTAGTATTAAATCTACCACTTTAACCGTTTTTATGTGCATTACATACACTCACATTGTTGGGCAACCGTCACCAGCATCCACCTCCAGAGCTTTCCTGGCTTTGCAAGCTGAGCAGCGGCTTCCCACCCCTCCCTCCTCCGCCCCCACTGTTCTGCTTGCTGTTGCTGAGAACCTGACGACTCGCGGTACCTTCTGTAAGTGGAATTATTCACGGTTGTCCTTGTGTAACTGACTGACTTCACTCAGCACAACAGCCTCAAGGCTCACCCGTGCTGCCCCGTGTGGCAGGGTTTCACCCGTTTTTGAGGCCGAGTAAGACTCCGTTGTGTGTGATGCTGCATTTGCTTGTCCACCCGTCTGTCGGTGGACACGAGGGCTGCCTCCCCCTCTCGCTACTGTGAGTCATGCTGCTGTGAACATGGTGCACAGATACCTCTTCAAAAAGACCGTGCTTTCTGTCCCTTTGGGCACGTGCCCCAGAGTGGAGTTCCTGGCTCCTCTGTTCGCAGGGCCTGTCACCTTCCACAACGGCCACACCGTCTTACGTTCGCTCCAGCAATGCACAGAGCTTCCGGTTTCTCCAACCCTGGTTACTTTCTGGTTTGTTGTTTTATTTTTATGATAACAGCCATCCCAGTGGGTGTGAGGCGGTGACTCAGGATGGTTGCAGCAGCACCGTGGTGGCTGCTTCGTGTCCCTGCTCCGGTGTGCTCCGGTGTCCCACGCAGCGCAGGCTGGCCGTCGCCGTCTCTGACTGAGGCCGGGTTACCGCAGTTCACACCTCAGCCCCTCGGGTTATTAGTCACGTGGCGCTGGGCAAGCTCCTTAACTTCTCTGTCCCTCATTTCTTCACGCATCACATAAAAAGCATGGTCACCGTAGTAGTAGCTTCTCACGAGGCTGGTGGAGGGGCCGTCGCTGACCTCTGCGCACTCAGAACCGCGCCCGGCGTGGCTGCCCCTTTCCAGGTGTCGGCTGCGGCTCGTCACCATTCACTCAAACCCCGTTTCCAAAACGGACAATTCCGTTGTTCCCCGCTCTTCCTTTATTTTTGGCATTATAAGTGACACTGCTGTGACCATCCTGGTGTTTACACCTTTGGCAACTTTGTGGCTTAGAGGGTCTCTGAAGGCCTGAAGCCATCAAAGGAAGGGAAGCTGAGGTGGGGAGGAGGCGCCCAGCAAGACTGGGGTGGTCGGTGAGGCCAGACCGTGTGGGCCCCAGAGGCCATGTCTGGAGCTTCAGGGCAGTGAGCAGCGGGGAGCCACTGTAGACCGCTGAGCAGGGGAGTCACGGGGCTGGATTTGCGCCTGAGAAGCGCAGCCTGGCTGCAGTTGTGCCCCCTCTGGCCCTGGGTTCCTCTGGCTCTCATCCCCACCTGACTCGGGCTCGCCAGGCCTCACAGGCCTCGCCGTGGCTGGGACCGGCCTCATCCTGCTCTCCTGGGTGCTCTTTGTCCACGGTGTGCACTTAGCAGGTGCAGGAGAGGGGAAGACAGGTAGTTGGATGCACCTGGGGATGAGGGACTTTTAGGGTCAGCAGAATAGAAGGACAGAGGGGTAAGGAATAAGAATGCGTGCACCAGAATGATTGTGAATGGGACACTGGGTCTGAAACTGGCTCAGGAGAGAATAAGGCTGGATGGACGAGAGGGAGGGGCTGGGGCTCTGGATGTGGCAGAAACCTATTGCCCGGTGGCTCTCGACTAGGAGAAGACAGGAGGCATGGCCGGGGAGCGCAGCGTTAGCTCCGCTTTGTGCTGTGGTGACAGACTTCGGCTTTGGCCCAGGTGGCGGTCACAGTACCAATAAGACTTTGTGCCCCTATGCAACCACCTTCTTCCAGATGCTGCTTTACGTGCTGTATAATTAATCACCTGTTATCCTTGGGCCAATTCTGCAAAAGGGGGGTGATCAGCCCCATTCTAGAGATGAGCAAAGTAACGTGCAGTCTCTAAGGGGCTCGGAGCCGCCGCCACATGGTGGGGGCAGAAGCGTGTTGCTGTGCCAGGTGTGTCCACACCCAGACACCCCGAGATCACTGACACGAGTCCTCCTGCTCAGGCTGGTTCCAGGCCCCTGGGTCCCGCAGTTCGCAGATGCTCAGGTCTCTCATGTAAAATGACAGCCTGGAGTCGGCTTTCGGTGTCCGGGGGTCCACGTCTGCGATTCATTCAGACACGGCCAGAACCTGCAGTGCGGAGTCCGCCCACACGGGGGTCCGCGGTCGTGTGGTCACGTCACTCTCAGCCGCTCACCCGCACATAAGGCCACCAGGCTGGACCTGAGGGCCCGGCGGTGGCCTCTCAGGGCCGCGTGGGTGAGTAGAGTCTGCTACCAGCCGGGGAGCAGCAGGGAGCCCCTCCTCACTCTGCCTCACACACAGTTCGCCTCTGGGTGGTCGGGGCTCCGGGCACGCAGCTCCTTGTGGACTCTGAGTGGATGGTCTTGGAAGTCGAGTGGTACTTAGAGAGGAGGCTGGAGATGCCGGAGGAAGCCTTGCACTGAAACCAAAGGTTCTCCATGCTTGAGGAGATGTTCGCCTCTGTTGAGCAAACACTAGGGAGCCATGGAAGGTTTGTGAGCAGAAGGTGCCACGTGCTCTTCCGTTGCCTGGGCTATACTCCTGAAGACAGTTGGTCGGCAGAAAGCTGGAGGTGACCAGACAGGAAGGGGTCACTGCTCGACGCAGTGGTTGTGCAAAGCAGGGGGATCTGCAAGGACAGAGTGGGGTCGGGGGCTCCCACTCGGCTTCCTCTCACTTGGAGCAGGCAGCGGCTCCATCGACGCGGACGAGCTGCGCACCGTGCTGCAGTCGTGCCTGCGGGAGAGCGCCGTCTCGATGCCCGCAGAGAGGCTGGACCAGCTGACGCTGGCGCTCCTCCAGTCGGCCCACCGGGACGGCAGCGGCGCCATCACCTTCGGGGAGCTGCGAGCCGAGCTGCAGTTCTTCCCCGGGGTCATGGAGAGCCTGACCGTCGGCTACCTCCCGTCTGTGCAGGGCACTGCGGGTTGGCTGTTACGCTCCAGCTGCAGAGTGGCCCACTCCCTCCGGTCGGCTCCTCCTCGCCCACCTTCTCTTGGGGACAAAGGTTCCATTTTCTGCATGTCTCTTTAGAATCGGCTCACAATATTAAGCACCTACTATGTGCCGGGCATTTTTACAAATACACCAGTGCGAGGAAATTACAGTTACAAAAGGGTGTTCAAGTTACTCCACCTGAAGCAATGAGCCTAGGCTCACACAAGGCATTGGCCAAGGCAGTTTATTTGCTCAGCCGGTCAGCCAGCCGCTCGCGGGCCGAGCCCTGCTCTCAGGGATGGCGGAGGCTGCTGGGCTGCATTCCAGGTGGAGAGAAGTAATCTGTACCAACAAGCAGACACATAAGCTAGGTAAGCACAAACCTGATAAGAGCTGCAGAGAAAATAATATAAAAAGGGTGTAACAGACCCAAACCTGACTGACTCCAAGCTCTGAGTGGCGCCACCTCAGTAGTTCGTTCTTCTTGCGTATTGACTTTCTTGTGAGTTACCATGCGTCTCAGGCCCTTCCATCCTTTTCAGTTGCCTTCCTTTTTTTTTCAGTTGGGAAGTAAAGAGAGGTAATAAAAATGGCTGTGAAAGTGGCATCAGACAGACCAGGGATTCATTCCAGGCCCACTTTGCTGTGTGACTATAAGCAAGTCACTTGACCTCTCTGTTTCCTGGTATAAAAGGAAGCTTCTTGCTTGCCACAAGGCTCCAGAGGGTTAGTGGGCTACAGAGGGAGTGGGGTCTCCAGGTTCAGACTCCTGTGGTCCCTCCCACCACATCCCTCTGAGTGGAGCCCTCTCCCCCAGTGCTGCCCACTGGCTGACGCCTCCCACTGCCAGGCCGCACCAGCGCCGTCCTCGCCCACTGACCTCCGCCTACTGGCACAACCACTGCAGCCACCTGCTCTGCCTGGTCGTCCACGCGGGCCTCCCCTTGCTGCTCTTGGCACTGGCAGCTAGTGCGCACCAGGCCCTCAGTGCCAGGGTCATGGTGGCCAAGGGCTGCGGCCAGTGCTTCAACTTTGACTGCAGCTTCATTGTGGTAGGGCTCCATGGGCGCCTGGGAACATGGGCAGCGGGGCTGGTGTGGCTCCTCTTAGACAAAATGACCCACCTGTGGACACCTGCAGCGCTGGAGTAGGATGGCACCTTACAAATCAGCTGGGCCAGTACTCAGTGGTGGAGATTAAGGCTCAGAGAGGGTCAGTGAGTTGTTCGTAGTCACGCAGCAGGTAAGGAACATAGTTGACACTTTTGTGTACTTACTGTGTACCAGCCAGGGTGCTGAGCACTTTCCATTCAATCCTCACAGTAACCTAGGTGGGCCCAGAGGAGGCGGGGCGGGCTCCCGTTCAGGGTGCCAGCTGGAGAGAGAACACTTCAAGGGACCTTGACTGCCAGACTGAGGAGCCAGACTGTGGTCCTCGGGACCGGAGACCGAGGGCTCCAAGTGTATTTGATGATAAGTACAGCAGAACAACTACACAACGACCCAAATGGAACTATCACAACTAAAACAAAACATGGACAAACAGAAAACACCCTCCCCGCCAGTTACCCAGCACGTGCTTATTTATCGCCGTGCGCCCTGCTGTCCTTCACCAGGGGTTTGCGGCACGAGACAGCCGGGAGGCAAGGGTCACCCTCACGGTCGGGTGTTCGTCTCTAGTTCAGATACTCTCCTTGACAGTGTCAGCCTCTCATCTGAGTGGGCCCCATTTTAGCCGCAGGACTGGCTGCAGAGACCGCACGCCGGCAGCGGGAGCCGCGTGACTCGCTGCGTTGTTAGCAGCCCTTTCAACCTGCACTGTCTCAGAAGGGAGCCTTTTCAGCTACCTGTCCTTCCTGGGGGTGGTTAGTTCAGTTCAGTGAAAACCGGATACTGTGGTCTGCACGTCCACGTACCGCGGCGTGCAGAAATGCATTCAAGCAAACGAGCAAGTGGGCAGCGCTCACCGCCACCGCCCGGGACGTCTCAGGAACCACAGGCGACTCTGCCTGTCTGACGGACGACTACGCGAGGGCCCACGTCAACACAGACACTGACCACCAGGAAGGGCTTACATGCTTCTCGTGTGTTCAGACAAAAGTAATAGGAGCAGACGTATTATAACCCGTAACACGCTCTCTCCCCTCCCCAGACCCGGAGGCCCCACTCTGCAGACCCCAGCGGTGGCCCTGGGGGAGCAGCACGGGCTGGGGGTCGGGAGGTGGTGGCGGCCGTCCGGGGGCACGGCCGGCTCCGGGCAAGGGGGGGGCGCAGAGCAGGCAGGCCGGCTCTCTCCCGCTCTGCCGCCAGGTGCTCGTGCTCAGGCGCTGCCCCACGAGGCTGCGGGCCACGTGGCTGGCTGAGGCCCTGCCCCTGGACCAGAACGTCCAGTTCCACCAGTCCTGTGCACACTGTGGCCCACGTTGTGAATTTCGGTGAGTAGCCTCGGGCTGGAGTGTGGGTGTGGTGGGACGTGGGCTTCCCACAAGCCACCTGGTTATCCTGCCCCTGTGTGTCCGCCTGCCCGCTGGGCGTGTCGGACTTTGGACGGGGAGGGGTGGGAGCCCCAACGGGCCAGAGGAGTGAGAGCAGTTTGTCTCGTGCTTGTCTGCAGCGCTCCGGGCTCAGTCCGGGGCCAGCCCCTTCCAGTTTTGGGAGCTGCTGCGCACCACGAGGGCCGGCGTTGGCTGGGTCCGCGGCTCGGCCTCCCCAGCCGGCGAGGTGCTGCTGCTGCTGCTCAGTTTGCCTGCTCCAGCTCCCGTGGCCGTCGCAGCAGCCACTTAGAGGGGCCCAGCCCTTGCCCCTGCCTCTCCCAGGCTGGGCTCCCACTTTCTCGTCACGCTGTGTCCCCTCTGTGTCCCCTCCAGGGCCCGGGAGGGTCCCGGGCTGGCCTGCACGTGGTGGACACATGACTGGCTTCTGCCCTTGGGCGGTGGTGTGTCTGGAGGATTCTGCCTTAGCTGCCTTGTCCCCTCGCCCTGTTGGGTTAGGCTGGGCTCAGGACGCGCAGGGAGAGGGAGGAACATGGGCTCTCCCGGGTTCTGGTCCCCACCCCGCTGCTG